CAGGTTTGCCACCCGTAACCTGTCCTAATTCAGTTTCCCCAGGCAATAAGACGCAGTAGAAAAACATTGCTTCTGTGGTGTGAGGACACTAAGTCAACTTCCATGAACAGGGATCGCTAAAAGGAGGGGAAAAAACCCCAAACCCATAGCCAGCACTTCATTCAAAGACTTGTGATCTTCTGAAGCTGGAAGGCTAAAAAGCCTGATGATTTTAACAGGGTGGAATGGAGATAAGGAGTTCTCCTGAAGGGTCTTTGATTCTGGAGCTGACCTTCCCTCACTATTAGTCCTCCCTACAGCACAGACTGTCTTATCTTCAAAATATATTCAAACACTTCTCTTTCCAGCTTTTTGGCAGTGGTAATTAACCAGATTTTTAAGATTTTTCTCTGCTGGTGATGTGGATCATTTACTAAGCTGAACATCCTTATTAATAACGATTTACAATACTTATGTGACCAGATGGACGCATTAGAAGTACAAACAAATAATTGCAAATGTGACTATAAGCTGCATGCCGATTTTCTTGTTTTGCATTCATATCTACATATTCTACTCATCAAAATACTGGACTGAAAGATTGTAGAGTAGTTTACTTAAGATCAGCATAGTGCACTGCAGCTTTCCTTTTCAGAATCCTTTAACTTCACTTTCATATTGCTTGCACTACTCATAGAAAATACGGTGAAGTGTCTTGTCTCCCCCTCATTTTAGATACCCCTTCTCTTCTGTCTTTTTGTTTAGCATGGTAAACCATAAGCTGTAAGGGACCTCTGACAGTGAAGGAACTCAAATACTGGTTCCCAAAATATAGTATTCCAGAAATCACTTTTCTTACTGCTCAGCTTGTTATGATGGTAATAGGAACTATTTCTAGAGTTTGAATCTGGGCTTCTGTACTTTGGCCTGACTGAGTTATCTTTTTCAGTTACCATTTTTAACAGATTGGGAATTTGTTATCCTCTTCACAAATAGTGAAAAGACTAGATGAGCATCTTATAAACAGCAGTTTCTTAATCTTTTGCTGGGGCCTTATCTGTGAGGAACTCAAAGACTAGGGTTGAGATAATAGTGGTAGTGTGGAGGACTGTCAAAGAGGAATTCATTGATGCAATAATGTTGGACAGGCCTTCTGTAGGATTGGACTCTGCTTCCTGAAAACTCCTCAGTAGTGTGAACATTAGTGTCAGCAAGCTAAACTGTCCAAGGTAATCAGTTTGTAGCAAGTTAAATTTGAAATTATGATGCAATGGCAACCCTGCTCTAACTAGCTATTTGGTATTTTTAAGATAAGAGGTAGCCTCCTTTGCTTTCAATGTAAAATAGTTTGTCTTGTGGGAAGAAACCCTCAAAATGTGCAAAGTATCTGCACACAGAGCTTGTGTGGAAGTCCAACTTCCCCAACTTCCCACTGTGTGAAGAAGACTTGCAACTTCAGCATCCTCCATAAAACCTTCTGCTAGAAGAGAAGGTCTCTAAGGAATCCTCTGTGGGTCACTTTGCAAACGAACTTCATCTAAACTCTCTCCATCTCTTACAGGGGTTATTGAGATTATTACACAGCATTGATATAATCTGAAACAAGCTGGCTAATTTGTGTAATTCTCTACTGGCCTGAATCCCGCACTGTCATTGACGCCTCCACAAAGAGAGCGCCACTCAAGAATTCTCCACTTTCCTAGAACAGTGATAGGGTTTTGTTATCACTTGTACTCTTTGCACAAGAATAAATGAGTGAACAGTGTGCAGAGCAGGAGAAAGTCACTTTTTTTTTTTTTCTGCTGTGCGAAAGAGAGTGTCAGTGGGCCAACATCTAGACTTCATTTTGCCACTAGAAAACTGGGGTAATTGTGCTTATATAGTTGCAATTTCCATACAAATTAGAATTTGACTCTAATCTTCTTACAAATTACCATCCAAATCAGAATATGAACAGTTCACATGAGCAGAATCACTTGTAATGATGGTTTAAATGATTTAAATTTAGATTCCTTCATACAGCAGTTAAAAATATAGTTGATCCATTCTGCCATAGTATGACTTTCAAGTCAGTTCACTTTATTTCACTGTTGATAATTTTGTTTTCTTCATTTAAAGTAAGTTGTGTTTATTTGGATACAGCAGACTAGGATCAGGATCTCCATATCCAAAAAGCAAATCAGGCCATCTTGAAAAATCTGTTATGGGCTACTTCTATGATTTCTTGCCACTAGAAACAGTATCCATTAGTGTGAGCAGTTGTAGTCGTATTAAAGACATGACAATACAAATTAACAGGATTGTGTCTGTAGCTCACCAAGAGCAACAAATCTTGCTGTATTTATCTTTTGAGGTCATTTGGAGGTACGATATTTGAATTTTCTTCCTTGAGGTTACGGAATAGATTGGGGAAGCACTGACTCATCATCGGGTAAGGTGGGAAGGCAATGGGAGCTTCAGCCGAATTTTCCTCTCTTGGGCTGCTACTGGCTTTTTAAAACTCTCCAAAAGGTCTCAACACTGATTTAGCATGTAAGTGCCTCCTGCTGAGGATGCTCACAAACAGGAAAGTATGTATATGCAGACAAACAGGAATTTGTCCATTCAGAGAGTGAACAAATGCTTCTGTGATGCCAAAGGGTGGTGCAGAGCAGAAGTTTTGCAGGTCCACACATCCTGTGCATGCACACATAGCTTTTACATAAAGAGACAAATATATCTTTATCTGCATGACAGATAGACAAACGGACTGACTGACTTCAAACTTGCACTTTCAGTAGGGATTTCCCCCCCCCCACCCCCGACTCTGGGTACTGCTTTTCAAAATTGCCCGAGGCTACAGTACAGCACCTCAGATCCCCAAGGCCCATTGCCTGGCTCCTAATAGCCACTCTCCATCTGTGTCACATGAACAGCTGATGAGATAGCTCCAGTGTCTGTATTTTGGAGAGCATATCCACCCAGGTTAAAATGCTGGGGTTGCCAAGGAGCAGTCAGAAGCCATTAGTGTTTGTGAGAATTTGCCTTGCAGCAGTTCCTTGGCATAGTGGAAAGTGTGTGTGCGTGTGTGCGCGCACGAGTGTGTGTGTGAGAGAGAGAGGGGTAGGGTGGAATATGGGGGGGGCGGGGATGTACAGAGCAATGGATAGGAGGGCTTTCTAAATGACCAACATCTTGCAAAAGCGAACAGTTGGTTACAGCATTTAGGGCTTCCATAATCTCTTTGATTGCTGTGATTTGAGTCTCCTTTCTCTGTATTTAACAGAAACAAACAGGAAAAAATCAGAAAAAAAAGGAAGAAAAAGAAGCATGAGAAAGAGAGCAGTGACTTCAGGGTCTTGCTCTGGTGTTTGGGCAGATGGAAAGGAGCTGCTCTGCCTTGGGGCAGGGTGGTTGTAATGAAGTGGCCTGTCAGTCTGTAAATAGTGAGGGTCATCTCTTCCATGTGATGGAGGGTATCACATTGCAGTGAAAATGGAAATGTCAATAAAATTAATCTGCCAGCTCTTTGCTGTGGCTTTTTCTGTCTCTCTGGTCCAAAAGGGTTGGGTTTTCAAAGGGGAGGCAGTGGAAGAAGGGTGATCTGGCACAGGAGGGAAGATGGAGCTGAAATGCAAGTTTTGAAGCAAATGGACTGTATGTAGCAGCAATGTATTTTGTTTAGTAGCACTACAGAGCTAGACAAAGCTATAGGAATTAGCTCATGAATCTATAGCATTCCTCAGGAAGCTATGGAGCATCTAGCTCAGGCTACATTGAGCACAGAGTTTATTGTTTTAGGCTTTCTTGGACAAGGTTTTTACTTAGCATGGGATTTATGGCATTTACTGCTAATGAATGTCTATTCTTAAATTACAAAAACCACCGTCTCAGCACAATTCCCAGATGTCCTTCCAGGACCTCAGCTTCTTAAACACCAGCAGGGAGCATAAACTCTCCACTTCTCTGTTTTCCTCTTTCGTGTGGCTCCGGGCTAATGATGTGTAAGGAAAACACAGCAATCTATAAAGTCTCAGTGCTGTCCCAGTATTCTTCATTTATTTTGCATTTGATTATGTCACAAGTCGGATCTTGTTTCTTTCCTTTTTTTAAAGTTATTAGTTCAAATATTAATGTAGGAATATGGCATATATTGCTGCTCTTGATTGATGCCTTCCCAAAAACAGGAAGACGTGCTCGTATGAATTTTAAGAAAGTAGGGGTCCTGCAATGCCTTGCCAGAAGAGTTTTTCAGATACATAATTTAGATGCCCTCCAGGCAGGCTTTCAAGGCATTTTTGCTGGAGGGCAAGAAAAAATAACTATGACTGTTAAAAGTAAATGATTTTTGCTAATGCACAATTAATGCCAGGGAAAAGCACAGAAGAGAAAGATGTTGATGGAAAGTTCTGATTAAGTGAGAGCTCTACCTTGATGTGCATCTTTTTTTTTCTTTTTTTTTTTTTAATGATAATAATCACTGATGCAGAGATGTAGTTTTCATGTCATGCAAATGCTGTATGCAGGGTCATACTAAGTGTACGTGTTTGTGCGTGCGTATGTATGTGTGTTGGGAGGTGATGGTTATGGGGAGGGGTTCATCTGACAGTGTGTTATGTGCACTGAACGGTGACATGGTTACTGCCACCTCTGCAGAGGGCCTTGAATATATAGACTACAGAACATTTAACTTGATTACTTATAGTACGTATTCAGAATGGTTGTAGGGATGCATTTACAGTGAATGGGTTTTCTTGTGGCAGGTTTTCCCACATTGAATCCCATAATTGACAAAGAGCTATTGCACTATGTCAAGCACACAATTTAATTGAAATAATGATATATGCATGTGTGAAACACAAAATTAGTATTTGGAGAGACATGGTTTTCTAATTTTTACTTATTTGTATCAGCACTTGTATATAGTGAGAAACAGTATGTGTCTGATCTAGCAAATTTAGTGTGTTGGTAATTAATAATACTTTTTGGCTTCTATATTTTGTTCATTAAATGTCTCCTTCCTGTTTTTCCCTTTGTTGCAGGAGACGGTTTAGACAACAGCGTAGCCTCACCTGGTACAGGGGATGACGATGACCCAGACAAGGACAAAAAGCGTCAGAAGAAAAGAGGCATTTTCCCCAAAGTAGCAACAAATATCATGAGAGCATGGCTTTTCCAGCATCTCACAGTAAGTGGTGCCCAAAATCAAAATAGATTTCTATTCATGTGCCTAATGAAGTTTGTTCATCGTTGTTAGAAATCAGTTGTCCCCATAATTTTTAGACTATTATTAAGGCTCAATTATTGCTGCCTAATTTTTTTTCTTCTAGATTTTTTTTTCTTGGCTCTTGGAATCATGACAAATCTGAAAGAAACCCTATAAATATATATGTGTATCTATACACATACATGCCTATAGAGAGAAAGAGGGATAGTACAAAGCCCTAGCGTGGAACACCACCTACATGTAAAGTAACCTCTTTTGCTTTGAACTATTAAAAATGTTTCTAAGGACAAAAAAGAGGGTTTCTTGCTTTAGCATTTGTAAAACTCTGCCTTCTTGATTCTTTATTGCTGGCCTCTTCTTACAAAATCTTCACACATATCTGGTGGAAGACAGACCCCAGTCACTGTGTGCTGAAATACACTGTGGATGTTAGAGAAGCCAACATAGCAACTTGCAAACTTGTCATTGCTACTTTTTGTGACGAATACAGAAGGCTTATGTGTTCCTTAATTCTCCTGTTGCATAACAGATGCAATAAACACCTTTATAGCTTCTCTGTAAGTCCATTATGAAAAAAAACACTAGCCATATTTACATTTGGGGGAGAGAGATTAAATATATGAAAAAGCAATGCTTTCTGTGGGCTATCTTTGTTGTCCTGCTTGCAATTGGGATTATGTGTTAGTGTTCTGTTGACTATTATAGCTTCACTTAGGCATCAAAACATGGTTCCACCGAGTAGCACTCTTTGTAGTTTACTTCATGTGGGAAATAATGGAAACTGGTAAAATTATCAATTGATTTTCTTCTTCCTCTCCCTGTAAAATTGTTTCTCACTTGCAAAGGCTTAAAATGCTAACTATTATTAACCTCTTCTACCAAAGTTTTATAAATTTCCACAGTAGCTGATGTTGGTTACAGTGTAATGATTTCAGGACAAGGTACCGGATTTATTTATGATAGGGACTATCGAACTGCTCTTCTAGCAGCACAGCTGAAGTGGGGAGCCATAGATCCACATTTCTAAACCATCATTTTGATGTAAGGACATTAGTAGCAAACTAAGGTGCATTGATCTGGCCTGTGGGGTCAGGATTAGCTGAAATAGCCAGTGTCTCTGCTGGAGTAGTGGTTATTTCTGCCTCCCAGCTATGGCCATTTCAAAGGTCAGGTGCCCTGTACCCACTTGGCTCAGAGGAATTAGACAGAACATGAGTCTCTGGGCTGATTACTTAACCAAAGACAAAATAATGAGTCCTAAGCAAATACTGACTAATTGAAAGGGCTGTAAATCCATTACATATTGGTCAGGGATAATCAGGAGTATTTAATCACTTTTATCTATTCAGGAGCACTGAAGCTGCAACAGCAAAGCCCTGAACCTTGCCATGTGCTTATTATTCTCATCATTATCAAAATTACTTCACAGCTGTTCTTTGCTACATCACCTCAGCTGGAGATTTACTAACCTGTAAAATGTTTTTAATTTGGAAGTCGAGTGAGTGTGAGTGGAGGGTTTTTCATTTAGCTGTAGGATATCTTTGGAGGAGTAGTATAGGCAGACAGCAGAAAGCAGGGCCACAAATAAACCAGTTTGTTTTGTACATGTTTCTGTGTTAATTCCATTTCCTCTCATGAAATTTGTGATACCTTGTTTTTTTTCTCCCTGTCTTCCTTTCTCATGTGCTCATTGAAAGCATTCGACACATACTTATTAACAGCCAACTGCCTCTCACTTCTCTTGAGGAAAGTCCTCCTGGCTTTTTGAAATCCCTTTTCCTTGATTCCACCCTCTCTCTCCTGACCCTCTTCATCCTGCATGAATTGGGGAAATTTGCCATCACTGGTGAGGATGGTCTCACAAAAAATCAAATTAAATGAACACGAAAAGTTCCAAACCTTTTACTGTCCAGGCTTTAATGAGTTTGCAGGTGTTGAAAGATTTACTGTGCTGTAATTCTCAGACCTACAAACTGATAATGGAGACCCCTGACCAGTGCAATGTAAATTCAGAGAAATTCTTGCCATAAACACGTGCAGGGAGGAAGAGAACTCCTTTCTTTTAAAGATCTTGCATTTTTTCTCAAATTAGCTTGTCCATTCAAAATGCAGTGCTGGCTGAGCCAGAATGGGGGAATCTGTGATGTACAATTTTTTTGTTTCAAGTAAATATCTTTACAATGGCAGTCCATGATTCAATGTACATTCCTTCATTACTACTCTAACCTTATTTCAAATTGGTTTGTTCCTCCTTTGTGCTGTATGACCTGTTCTTGTATTACAATAATCCCCTGATGTACCCTTTTTTCTTTCTCTCTCTCTCCTTTTTTTTTTTTTAAATAAACTAATTGAATTATCTCATTATTTTAATTTGTTAAGCAAATGTATTTTACATCTCAGGATGTGTTCTTAAAGAAGGAGCTGCTTAGGCAGCCCCCTGAATGGGCCATTGGTACATTTTGACATTCATGCATTCATTAAGGAGAGGAACATAAAAGAGCTCTGGTTGCATTTTTTTTTCAAACACCCAACCAGCACAGAGCAACTTTTCCATAAGCCACAGGGGTCTCTCTACATATGTTCTCAACTGCAAGCCATTGTCACCTATTCTGAATACCTCAAAAGGACAAATAAAATACTAAAGGCCAACTGTAGCAATTGTTAGCTGTTAGTTTCAATATGACAAAAATCATTAACCTCTGGTTTCCTTGGAAAGAGAGGCAGTGGCAGTCCATCTCTTATGGCATGGATTAAACTTCAAATTCTTTTAGACTGTCAAATTCAAAGAGTAACTTAGTTCTGACTAATTGTATTTATTTGTGATTTTAAATAAAATGTTACTTTTTTCCCTTATTCAATCAGTTTGCAAACTGCTAAGGTAGCCAGTGTTAAAAACTGAATTGCCTAAGTGGCTTTTTTTGAAGAGACAGGCACTTGAACTCTGATGTAGAATGAATATACCTCACAGGCTGTGTCTTTCAAAACAATTTCTAACCCCTATCACAGCTTCCATTTTGCAGTAACTTTAATTATATTTGAAATAGGATACACATACATGTTTTTATTGTTGGAAATTAAATGCAAGGAGTAGGAGCTTCTCACATCTTCTCATTTGCTTACCGAGCTCTGTCTTACATTTGGAATTACAATGGTACCAGAAGATGAAAGATCTGAGGATGAATTGATTGGAAATGTGTATGCTTTTTGTGGATAATATCCAGTGTTTAAGAAAGTAGCGGAAATCCTAGTCTTAGTATAAGCTTTTCAATAGTACATAAAGATTACGACATCAGAACGGTAAACCTGACATTAAGGCTGTTTTTATTTGAGTTCAAAGGTGGTTAAAGAAAAGAAACAGCAAGAAATCTGACCCAAGCCGAGAATTTATTCATAGCTTTGGAATACTCCTTTTCCTCTATGCCAAGGAGTCCTTAGTACATTCAATTAGCCTCTCAGACATCTCTGCTTTCCTTCCTCAAGTGCTCCCCTATTTGCCCTGCAAAGAACATATTTGATCACGAAGTGAAAACAGGAAGTGCTCAAATGTATAGACACCTCGAGCTTACACCAATGTTGAGATTAGGATTTCTTACCAGCAACTATACACAGCAGGCCCCCCTCCTCCCATGTTCTTTTGAAGTATGGAGGACCTTTAAAATGTATGTACATAATCAGAAAAGAACGAAGTTATAAAGGAAGGAATTATACCGTTCTATGGACTTCTACCTCTGGTAGTTCACTGCTTTCTGTAGCATAGTGTATCAAGGACTACACTTCTGCTACAGTCAATGTTTCCCCCCCTTCTTTTACAGAGCTAGTAGAACAGAGACATGTTTATTCTTTGACATTTACCTGGAGTCATGCCCTTTGTTGAAATTCTATTTTGGTTGTTTCTTTTGTTACACTATGTAAGAAGATCTATATCTTAACGAAAGGTACCAGATATACCAAAGGTAGCCTGCAGACTAAACCTTTTTTATGACAGTGCCAGATTCCTAGCTGATGATGTTTGGGGTTGCTCCCCTGAAGTCCGTGGAGTTGAGTTGGGTTTTTTGCTTTATTTGCTAGCTGAAATTCTGTCTCCTAACGTTTGTTTGAACAGTGTCATCTTCACCCGATCTCCACAATTTTCTGTCTGAAATCTTGCTTTTTACATAGTCTCTTGTGGATTAGATTTTGGGTTGATCTGCTTTGGTGTCAGGCTAGAGTAAATTCTACTGGGAAGTGTTAAAATGAATCTGCCACAGCTTCTGTACTTACCTGAACTAATTTTCTTAACTTGTCATATTCAGGTGTCCAGATTGAATGATATGAATAGTCTTACTGAAACAGATTATACTTTTTTTCCTGCCGTATTTATGTGGGTGTATCTGAGAATATAATGGTTCTCTCATATTTTGATGAATGGCTTACCAAGCCTTTTATACAGTGCTGCTATTTTATTTATTTGTTAGATTTGATTCTAGAGATGAATGTCATCAACCAAAGTCAGTCTCGGAGCAAGCTTTCAAAACAGTTGTAACCATCCAACCTTCATAAATATCTCCTCCCATATCATGATTTTAGGAATAAAACCTAAAGGAGGGTTAGGAACATAGCTTGCTATTGCAGTCCACACTGAGCAACTTACTTTCATACCAAAGAGTAGACCAGCTTTCCACAGAGTCGGGCTCTAGGAAAAGCATTCTTCACATTGTTTGTTTTGCTGTACTTTAAAAAAAAAAACAAACCAAACCAAAATAAAAAACCAACCCCAAAAATACAACAGACCTTTGTCCAGTTAAAATGGTGCAAAGGCAGCTGGGAGACGAAGAGGATACAGGAATGTGAAGACAATTTTAGCACATGTGTTGGACTGCGTTGTAATGTGCTAGACACTCCCAGGGTACACTGAGGAGACGGACAATGTCCTCAATTCTCCTGTAAAACACCTTGCATATGGGTTCACCTGGCTGCCATTT